TGGGGATGGTGGGAGGCACTGCAAGAGATGCACCAGGGGTCCTGCTGGCTACTGTGAAGGAGCTGAGGGGAAGAAGGAAGGGATAGGTGGCAGGGGTGCTAGCATAAGGGTCTTGGGCTATTTTCTGTAATGGGTATTCCCCACAAGGTTAAGGCTAGGAGTAGCTTGCTCATGACGTGGAGAGATAATGGAGCATGGGCATGTATATTGGAGCCAAACAGAATAGAGGTTGGAGACTAGGGAAGAGGCAGGGGCAAGGGTGTAGGTGAGAAGGAGTGAGATGCAGATATGGGGCACAAAGTCAGGGTACCTTCAGAAAACATCACAAGTGAGGCCATAGAAGACCTGGTAACTTTTTCAGGGGGGCTTTTGGGGGTGGGTGGGGTCTGAGGTCATTGGAAGGCAGCTGCTAGGCCCTGGGCACAGTGATGCAAGTGCAGGTTGTGCTGTTCAGCTTGGAGGACGATGCTGAGTTCAGCTGTGTACTCTGGGTATAGAGCCAGCCAGCCTTTGGTGGACACCTTCTGCAGACAGGTGGGAAGGCAGGTCTGGTGCTAGGTGGGGGTCTGAATTAGAGCCATCTACACAGCAGGAGTGAGAAGAGATGGGGTGCTGCTCAACTGGGAGAACTGTGGGGGACCAGAGACTGTAGTCAGTATCCAGGACCTCAGGGCTGAGACAAGGTCCGGCCTTTCAGAAGCCTGCAGCCTGGTGGGAGAGCTGGAGCCAGGGCTCTGCCTGGCCAAGACTCTACAGGTCAGAGGTTAAAGAGGCCCAGATGAGATAGTTGTGCTGATAAACTTGCAAGAACAGGGAGGATTTGAATGGCAAAACAAAGGTAGTCTCTCTTCCAGTCAGACAGGATTCCTAGGGGACATCGTTTGGAACAAAATGTATACAAACATGTGTGTGTGAGGAACTGTGCATGCTGAAGGTGGGTACAGGTATGACAGCAAAATGGGGATGTAGAGGAGTGTTTGGGAAAGTGTACTTATGTGTGTATGCAGTGTGGATGTACACACGTGTGTATTTGCTAGCATAAGCTTGGAAGGAAAAGAGAAGGGTGGAGGAAGCCTTCCTCTTCAGCCCATATGGAAGGAGAGGGCCCTTGGCCTAGTTCTCATCTCTGAGTTCAGGGTCTTCTCTTCTGTCAACTCCATGCAGTTTAGCATCCTCCTCCCCAAGATCACTCTACAAATTGTCTAGACATTAGGGCAAAGGGCTTTTTGACTATCTCTTATCCCCCAGTCCTTCTGCACATGGATCGTGGCCCCTCACTACCAGTTTCTGGACCTCCACTTCCCGTTGGCATGCCATCCACCTGGTCCAGAGAGAAGGCAAAGCCTGAGGTCAAGGGAAGACAGGTCTGGCTTTCACCAGCTGGTGCTTTCTGACTAGGATCTATCAGCACTGAAAAGGAAGAAGGTGCTTTCACTCTGCAGAGACCAAGACCTCTAATTTAGACATGTGCCAACTCCAGATTGTCTTGATCTGGCTGCCCATTACTTCCCTCCAAAGCATAACGCCTGCCACTATGGTTGGCTCTCTTAGATTATGGGAGTTATTCCTGAGTGATTCTAGGTACAGTTGTGTACTAGGAGAACACTGAACATCTGTCTTGAGGCTTCACAAACTCTGCCATTCCCTTGGACTTGAGCTTTCCTTTCTATGGGATGGGTTCAACTCTTCCTTCCTGACTGCTGATGACTAGATGGCTCTTAACACTTGAGAAGCCCACTGCTTTGTTACCCCTCAGATCCTCTCCACAGCCTCCTCTTCTCCCATGTCTGGGGCTGGCACCTGCCTTGGAAGCCCTCTCCCGACTGTGACCCAAAAATTCCAGGAAGATTCACTCCATGGAACTGCCTAAAACCCCAAGAGCAGTTTCACCAACCTCTCTGAATCTTGCTTCTCTTCCTTCTTAGCTGCGTAGTCTCAAGTAAATGCTTCTCCTTGAGCCTCAGTGTTGTCATCTGTAAATACAGATGGCAGCAGCTGTAGTACTGGCGTAAGGGTTAATAATTCATGGAAAGCGCAAAGCTAAGCGCTGGGTCCCTGTACAGTATTTGGGTGTCTCTAGGTAGCCGCCAATGAAGAAGCCTAGGCACAGAAAGAATCACTTGAGACACTTCTCTCACCAGGACTGGGGGTGTAGAGGGGCTGATTATGGGGGGAGCTCAGGATGCCAGTGTGGAGGCTGCTGCCAAGTTCCACTCTGGCAGGACCTGCAGAGCAGCGCAGGCAGGCGTGACGGATGCTGTCCATGGTGCTGAACAAAACGTTGGGCTCAGTTCAGAGATCTGTGCAACCATCTGGCAAAGAACATAGAGATGCAGTCCACAAGGCCAAGGGCATCTCTCAAATCCTTTCACCTGCCACAACAGCACTTTCCTGGCATCACCCTTCTTGCCACCAAGAGCTTACCTTTCAGATGCCCAGCTATGAGTGTGACTTCTTATCCTCCGATGGGATTGCGAGTTCCTCGGGGTCAGAGCATTTTGCTGATCTCAGTTCAACTTGTTCTTATGACAAGTTTGCTAGTGAGGTACATGATGTTCTCCCCCCGGCCCCCACTCACCCCTTGAAGATGAGAGAACTGAGGCAGGAAGACACCGTGATTAGAACAGAAACCGACCCAAGGTCGGTTGGCCCTAGACTCCTGCACTGTCAACAGGCTGATTGTCCCCTTACATGGTACTAGGATACTCCTGGACTGGGAAGAAAGTACCAGTATTCCAACCGCAGCCCAGATCAGCCACCACAACTATCTTAAGCATCTGGAAGCTTGAGATTGAAACAATTAGTCAGAATGTAAGGAAATGGGTGGTTTCTCCTCATGTAATTTGGTTTTATGAAGACCACTAAATGCAAACATTCTCCTGTTAATTACTGTCTTGAATTTGGTCTGTAATTGAGGGAACTAGAGCTCGGGGGGAGTATAGAAACCCGCTAGAGTGACAGGCCTGCCCGAGTCAGCATTCCCAGCCTTGCACCCAGTCTGTTAATTTTAGAAACTCCTCTAGCCTGGTTGTATTATTAGACTTATGTACAGAGGGCCACATGGCCCTGAGTGGCTCTCTTATACCACAGTACTTTTGCTTGTTTGTTTATTTTTCCCAGGAGATTAAATGAATAGGAACGATGGGGTGTGTGTGCAGGGGTGTTTGCACACTGTGTGTGTGAATAGAGGATACCTGAATATGGCTTCTAATGAGTGTATGCAGCTGTCTTTGAGTGATGAGTGTGCAGCTGGGCAGAGTATACCCAGCTAAAGAACAATCCATAGCAGCTGAAGCTGGACCCACAACTTACTGGCAGGTATGCTATGTTCTTTGCAGGAGTGTATGAAGACTCTGTGTCCTCAGACCTTAGCTGGGTTCTCCCCTAGGCATGGTGCTTGGAGGAGGAATGGTGGGTCATGGGACTGGGAAGGAGCTGAAGTTAACTTCTTAGTACTAATCTTAGAATGAGAAGCCCTCATGGGACTCCCTCATGAGGCCCTGATAGGCTTGACTTTCAAAGGAACTGCAAGAAGCTGCCCTTCACCCCTGGAAGCCACCCTCCCCGAGCTGTGTGATACGGGACAACTGCCTTGCTCACCTCTCGTAAAGCAGGCCCTGCCCTCTTCTTGACTCACAGCATCATTGAGTCTGAAAAAAAATATATATATTTTTTTTCTGTGAAGTAATTTCTTTTCAGACCTGAAATTTTTCGAGCAGAAGTGCTTCAGTTTGGAGGGACCCTCTGAAGACTCAGGGAAAGCTTGTCTCTCCCCTATTTCTTTCCTTCTGGAGTCCCTGAAGTAGAGAATTAAAGATAGCCAGAAGGTTATCCTGGGAGAAGATGTGCTTACTTCTGCTTGACTTAATGCTTTTGTCTGTCACATGCAACTGTCTAAATTAATAGTAGAGGGAAGGAGCTCTGTAGAGCAAGCTTTGGGTCTTGGGTCTGACCCTAGGATGTCTGGCACTTGGGCAGGGTCTGGGAATGATTGGCCGTACTTTCTAAGTGTGGGGTCTGTGCCTGTTTGTGCTGTCTCCACACTCTAGGGAGTCCCTGCTGGACCAGGTTGGTGATGACCCAGCACAGCCCTGACAGCTGACTTTGTAGTGCCTCACCTTGCTTGGCCTCTCAAAGCATTGCCCCAAGGATCCCTGCTGTCCCCCCAGGAGGACTTACAGGTGCTTTGAAGCCTTGAGAAAAATGATGCTAGCAGCCCCAGTGAGTCTCCTGCCATTAACACTGAGTGGTATCTCACTGGCTCCTGAAATCCTGCCCTCCCCCGTGGACTGCCTGCATTTGATGTTATACCTGCCCTTCTACAACCTATTAGTGTGCAAACTATTGGAGAAGAGATGGTCAGGCATTTTCTGACTAAGGAGAATGCCAGCGACAGTATGGGAAAGGCCAGAATTATAGGATTCTGCACAGTGTAGAAACTTCAAAATAAGGAGTCCAGGGCCTACTTGATGTCACACTGCTGTAGCATATCAGTGAGAGTCAAGGCTGGAACTGAAGCCTCTGCCTCCCAGGCACCTACCTGGTGTCTGAACCTCTCCTGCTCTCTGGTCACGCTCCATAGCATGCCTGTCTAACAGCCTGTCTCAGGCCACAGATAACCCTCAGAGAGATTGGGCAGCCTAGTCTGAACCTGGGAAGGAGGCTGTGAGCTTCTCCTGTCACCAAGGCAAGCCTCTTACTTGTCCCTGGGTGTTATTGTTTGGGCTGCATGTCAGCCTGACTCTGGTCGGGGAGTGAGATGGGTAGGGAGATGTGTCATCTGGGGAACTCACAGAAAGGCAGGTCAGAGGGTATGTCTGTGTCATTCCCTGTGTTTGCAACCTTCACATCTTGCCCTGGTACTTACAGGCTTATCTCCCTGCGTGCCTTGGAATCCACCAACCTCCCCCCAGTTTTGTTTCTGCTTTCCCTCAGCATTTCCTCTCGTAGTCTGTAATGTGCTCTCTCTCCCAGTGACTGACCCCTGTGTCTCTGGGCAGATTTTACTGGGACCTAACTATGCTGCTGCTGATGGTGGGAAACCTGATCATCATTCCCGTGGGCATCACCTTCTTCAAGGATGAGAACACCACACCTTGGATCGTCTTCAATGTAGTGTCAGACACATTCTTCCTCATCGACTTGGTCCTGAACTTCCGCACAGGGATTGTGGTGGAGGACAACACAGAGATCATCCTTGACCCACAGCGGATTAAGATGAAGTACCTGAAAAGCTGGTTCGTGGTGGATTTCATCTCCTCCATCCCTGTCGACTATATCTTTCTTATTGTGGAGACACGCATTGACTCCGAGGTCTACAAGACTGCCCGGGCCCTACGCATTGTCCGCTTCACCAAGATCCTCAGCCTCCTGCGCCTCTTGCGTCTTTCACGCCTCATTCGATATATTCATCAGTGGGAAGAGGTGAGTGGTCAGACAGAACCTCTTTGAGGGAAGAGGCAGTTCCCTACTGAGCTGTGGGGCTGTAGAAGTCACACCTGCTCCATTCCAAGAGGACAAATGTTACAAATTCCTTACCTCTTCGCATGTGTTGGTTTCTGCACAAAGTACTTTACAGATAGCATCTCATTCAAGTCCATAACAATCATAAAGAGTACCATAGATATACTTGTGGAGACTCATTGACATGTGGTGTGCGAATGGGACACAGATGCTAATGTTACAGATGCATCATGTTCAATACAGAATCTGGGCTCTTTTTTATATACAGATTTCGTTGGTAACTATCTTAGATTAGGGTCTTCTGGAACATTCTCTGAGATAGGAATTTGCATGAACATAATTTGGTGGGAGGAGGAAGCTTGGTAAGGGATGAGTAAAAGGGTCAGGGAAAGTGGGACACCAAGCCAGGTGAACGAGATATCAAGCCAAGTCCCATGCAGGGTGTCTTTGGCTCAGTCCCACCAGGAGATCTGGGGACAGTGTACACCACATTTTGAACTTATCCCTGTCAGGGAAGAGCTGGAATGTTTATTCTCCCTTGCCTGAGAGCCAGTGGTTCAGGGCAGTCCCAGTTCTTGTGCCCACAGCCCAAACTGCTTCCAGTTTGTACACAGGTGTTGTCTGTAAGGGACAAAAGCCTCCTGGGGGCCCCTGGAGTCCTATACACAAAACTATAAAGAGATCAAAAGGTCTGAGGGCACTGGCTACAGAAACCATATATTTTTTTAAAAAGATGTAAATAGATTGGGTAGGTGCACCCCATTCTGAAGGTCAATGCACTCTCAAAGTAGCAAGCTAGGGCCATGGTGGAAGACCTTGGGTCTAGGATTGCTACCTACTTCAATAGCAGTGGTAGACAGGTCAGTCTGGGAGCTAGTCATATTGCAGATCTGCCATGTGAGACACTCACTTTGGCATGTGGATTGGGCTATGCTGGGCAAGCTCATTGCTGAGACGCCTCCCTCTGAGGATCTCCTGGTCTCCAGGACCCCAGCTTGATTGGGTGGGAAGTCCTATGATCATGTTTGAAAGTCCCTGCCCTTATCCCTGGGCAGCCCAAGGAACACTGAGGCTGATGGTTGAGGTACCGGCATATCCAGGTCAGAGGCGTCATGAACACACGTGCTATGGAAGAAGTGCCTGCACCATCCCAGCAGAATTGTTTCTGGGCAGAAATTCTCTTGGCCTTGGGAAATTTCATTGTTTTTGCTGACAAACGAGACAGTGACTCACCCAAGGTCACAAAGCGGTCTACTGGCAGAAATGGGGACAGATCCAGTTAGTTCTCTTGGCTCCTTACAGTGTGGCTGTCCCTGCCTGAGGTGACAGAATACTTGATGATTCTGGAGCTAGAATGACACATTGGAGACCTGAGTTCAAATATCAACCACACACTGCCTGGCTCTGTGACCTTAGTACCACTTTGCATCTCTGAGCCTCATTCTCTTTACCTGTAAAATGGGTATAAGCAGTGCCTTGTTTGTAGAGGGTTTTTGTATGAAGCTTGGTGTGGAGAGCTATTTAATGAATGCCTTTCCTCACCAGTTTTCTTAGTAATAGCAAGGGAAATGGCATTTGTCAGGCAAAGAAACTGATAGTAAAAAGGACCAGCTGCCAAGGCCCTCTGTCTTCTAGTCCATGACTTGGGATCTATTAACACTCACTTGGTTAGTGGGATGTACACACGGTAGGTGCCTGGGCTCTGTTCAGTCCAGCAGGGCCTTGTGGAGTGTCTGTCTGTGCTCTGTCCTGGGTGAGGCACTGGGGACTCATCCAAAGGCAGGAATGCCAGAAGGGGAGCAGGTCATGGGGTGTCGTGTGTGATGAGGTGGGTTTGAAGGACTTGAGGGATATCAAGTTGTACAGAACTGTAGGTCTGAAGCCAGGACTAAGGAAGGACAGTACCTCTGGGTCTGGGGAGCTGATCCACCCTGAGTAGATGTGAAGGAAGGAAGGCTGTATATTTCCCAGGGTTCTCTAACTTGGCTTCTCTTGCTATTTCTAGTGGAAAAGCATGACCCATGGGTAGTCCCCTTAGACCCAGAGCAACCCCTAACCTTTCTATCATAGGCCCGCAGCTAGACTGTCAGTAACAACAGACACAGCAGCTCTTTCCTTTGGCATTGTTTTGGGCTACTCAGAACCCCAGGACTGACTTTTCTCCTTGCTTAGTGGAGATCAGTAGAGTTGCCAGTGGAGGGGTGAGCTGAGCCCTAGGACAGAGCAAAGCTCTTCCTTTACTGTCCCTGCACCCTAGGTGTGGGGAGCTCAGGCCCAAGGCCACTGTCCCCACTGCCCTTCTGGCATGGCTGCTCTCTGAGTTACCCAGACCTGGTGAGGTAGGCTCTATTCCTGACCCTTCCTTTGGGGAGTCAGAAGTCCCAGGAAACCTCAGGCTCTAAACTGGACATTGCTACCCCTGTGTTGTGGGCAGTAAGGGAGATCCCAGGCAACCAGATGGACACCCCCCACCCCCTCCACTTGTTCCCTTATCTCTTCTACCAGCTGGGGAGGAAATTGCTTTGAGCTGGTTTCTGCCCGCACACAGCCCAACCAAGGGCTCCCCTGGGATTGGATTGGGGTTTCCCAGCTGGCCTAAGGAACCCCGTATCCAGGTCTTGTGCAGCCCACTCTAGCCCCAGGGCTTCTCCTAGCCTCAGCTTGTGTGGCACTGGCAGCAGGAACATCCTTCAGGCCCCTAGATCTACACGAGAGTAACGGAGCTGGTAGAGTTGGGTGGTGGTTTTTATGATAAAAACCTGTCCTATCTCCTCTTCAAATCCCTACCTAATTTTGTTTTCTTTTCTGGGCCTCAGTTTCCCCAGCTATCAGGCGTACACTGGTGTTATCTGAAGCTGAGGCTCTCTGGTGCTCAGGCCCCAGTTGTCTTTTCTGGATGAGCATTATGTTAGCTGACCCTGAGGATCTGGTTGTGACTGACAGGTCCTGGAGGAGGAAGCCTAAGGCTGGAGCTACAGAATTTGCTTTCCACTGAAGGAGAAACTTGCCCAAGGCACTCTGATGAAGCTGTGGATTCTCAGGGTACCCGACCCCCCCATCTTCTGCTGGTTCTTCCAGCTAGTCCCAGTAATGCTGTCCTTGAGGAGATTTCTGTAGATTTGGTAGCAGGTTAGGCAGAATGGCTTAGGCCCAGCACAGGCTTCCTCTGTCCCTAGCGATCTAGGTCAGCAGCCTCCCTCCGAGACTCTCCCAGCCAGCCTCTGCCCTCCCTCTGAGGTGTGAGCTTGTCACAGGCACTCAGGCTATTGTTAGAAACCTTGGTGGCCCCCCTTTGGATGTTCCACTGCAGGCCCCAGCATGCTAGAGGCCCATGCCAGAAGCCTCTTCTCTCCCAGAAACCTGGAATGGCAGGATGAGTGCTGGGAACAGGAGACTGGGCCCAGGAGGCTGTGCAGCCTTTGATGGATCCCTCTTCCTGTGAGCCTTGAGCTCTCCATCTCTCTTACTCCAGTGGTTGACATCTGTGGGAAGCGATCCTGGGGGACTGGGGCTGACTCTACCTTCCTAGTAGCAGGAAGGGACCCCACATGACCCTCAATCCAGAACTCCAGGCTGTGCCCAGGACACCCATGCACTGGCCTCTCTCTTGGACCTTGGTTTGTCCTTACTATGGACACTTGTTCCTGAGACACAGGTGGAAGCTTGTTCATTTCCCCAGGGAGGAAATGAGTCCCTGAGTGAATCCCAAGAAGGGGCCTTGATGGACACTCCATGCCAGCCTCACTCCAGCGTTTGGGGACTCATCAACACCAAGAATACAGCTCTGTTAAGGAGCTGAGCAAGAGAGGGAAGAGAGGAACCAACATATGCAGAGTACCTACTGTGTGCCACATGTGGCCATTATTTTGCCTGGTTTCCAAGACAGTTTTGGGTTAGAGCTGTCAGTAACTGACAAGTTCCACAGATAAGGAAACTGAGTTCCCGAGGGGCGTGCTGGAACATGGATGTGTTGCTTTATCAGTGTGGTTGAGAAACTTCAGGAGTGGGTACAGGTTCCCAGGGTGCCAGGCAGGCAGAGAGCAAGCCGCTCAGGCCATCTGTATGGCAAGGCCTCCGGAGGTCTCAAAAGGAAAGTGCTCCCCCAGTCAGAACCAACATCATAAAAGGGAGTTTTAATGAAATATAAAGAGCTAGGTAAATATTTGCCCAGTGCAGCTGACTGGCGGGTGGTGTGTGGCCCCAGCCCGCAGCAGGGACACACAAGTACCCAACAGCTTCTTTCAGCAACATCCAGCCTTATTCTGGCAACCATGTCCTGGATGCTGTCAAGTGTTAGAGGTGTGGCGAGTGTCTTTGCAATTCAGAGTACACTCTGTGCCTGAGTGGATTCACCTGGACCAGTTCTCACCAGGCAGCTCAGTGGTGGCCTTGCTGGTACACCTGGCTCTATAGCCACATGCCCCTCCCCACCCCTGTTACCCCAGCATCCACACCCTTCTCCACTTAGCACCAGGTACTGCTACCCTGGGCTCTCTGTCCACCTGGAAGAAAAAGCATCATTATTCTTTTTTAAAATTAATTTATTTTTATTTTATGTGTATGAGTGTTTTGCCTGCACGTATGTAGGTGTACCACATGCATGCCGTGTCCAAGGATGCCAGAAGAGGGTGTCAGATCCCCAGGAACTGGAGTTACTGGTGGTTGTGAGCTGCCATGTGAGTGTTGGGAACTGAACCCAGGCAGCCAGTGCTCGTAACCACTGATCATCTCTCCAGCCCCAGTCATTATTCTTTCCACAGAGGCAAAGGCAGGCTGCCTCTGCCTTATTGACAGCCACATATGTGCTAGTTGGGACTTGCTTACTGCCAGCACCATCACTGTCATTGTCACCTTTACCTCTTCTTTAAGCTCTTCTCAGTTCCTGAGACTCTACCACATGTTCCATGCTGGATTGACCATTGAGATTGTGAGAAAGGCTTAGAAGAGTTACTTATGATGCAAAGTGCAAGGGAGTGGGGCCCGGATGTAGCTCTGGGGGTAAAACACTTGCTGTGCAGGTAGGGACCTGAGTTCAGAACTCACATAAAGTTGGGCACTGTTCAGGGCCTCTAATCCCAGTGTGTCTATAGTGAGATGGGAAGCAGAGACAGAGAGGCCCCAGAAGCTTGTGGGCCAGCTAGCCTGGCATGTGCAGCAAACAAGAGACCCTCTCTCAACAAGGTGGAGGGCAAGGATAGATAACCGAGGTTGCCTTCTGACCTCCACAGGTATGCTGTGGCACAGCCACACGCATGAACATACACACACACACACACACACACACACACACACACACACAAACATACATACATACATTTTAAAGAGACCCGCATGCAAAAAGAAAACATTGTGGGGCTGGAGAGATGGCTCAGCACTTAAGAGCTGGGGTCAGTTTCTAGCACCCACATGTATTTCATAATCATTTGTAACTCCGGTTCCAGGGATTCTGATGCCCTCTTCTGGCCTCTGCTGCTGGCACCAGGCACATATGTGGCACACTTACTTACATACATATAGGCAAAACATTCATACACATTAAAAAAAAAAAGACTGCATAAAACATGTCAACTTCGATGCATCTGTCTTTAAGGCCCAGAGTGATTCATAGAAACGTGCAGGAATTGTGGGCTGTGATGTCTGAGACACTTTGCAGCCATGGCCTGAGGCTTCCTTTGGCTTCCATATGGTGTCTGTTTATTAATTTAAGCACACATGCACATATTCAGGCAATCAACAGATGTTTCTTCTACGTATCTATACATTCCATGGAGGAATACAGAAGCGAGAAATGATGACTCCTGCCTCATGGAGCAGTAAGTCAGCTCGAATATCACTTTAGATAGTGAGAACACAACACAGGAGGTCAGTCAAGGCAAAGTCCTGGTGAGGGTGGGAAGGGAGGCCATTAGCTGCTTCATACAGGGGTAGGAGGCCTCTCCTTGGAAGTGTTAAGACAAGAGGATGAGGCACTGGACAGAGGAAGCAGATGGGTTAACAAGCATACTTCTAAATTCCTGTGGCCAGCTACAACTAGGGGGACCTTCAAGGACCTGAAGAAGGCCACAGTAGCCAGAGGTAGAGGGCCTTGGGCACAATGGAGGAGATAGGGTGGGGAAGTAGTTGGGGCCCACACTGCTGAAGTCATAGCAGACAGGTGGCATGGGCTCTGAGGACTAATGGTGAGACACTGGGCAGTTTCAACTCAGAGGTGACACAGTCTGTTTGTCTTGAAGAGCTTATTGGGTCCTGCTCAGTGGCAGTGCAGTAGATAACTGGAGGATGTCTCCACTGGAAGAGGAGGCTGGAGGACCTGGATGGGTGATGGATTGGGCATGGGGAGGGCTGAGAGAATGGGAGGAGTCCAGGCTGGCTACTGGGTTTTCATTGCTCACCTGCACAATTGGGGAAGAGGAGATTTTGAATGTGTCTGTATAGAGATAGACAGGGAGATAGCTGGACAGGCAAGCCAGTCTGTCAGTCTTGTGTCCTAGGCATAACAAACAAGAAACTGGGGCATTTTGGGGGTTGAAGGGAGAACAGAAGAAGGTTGTCCTCCCTCAGGTGAGGAGGGACATTGCTCATCTCCTTTGGGGTCTCTTGTGATTGGCAACACAGCTACACCCTAGGGAGCCCCTTAGCCAGGGGAGGGAGGGGACAGGAGCTGAGCTGGTGGCCAAGCCTCTGTGGGTGGCTGTGCTGTCCAGCCTCTAGCAGGATTCAGATAGGACAACCTGGAGCCTAGCTGGCCTCTAAGCTAAATCCCCTTTTAGACCATGCTTGGCCTCCTCTGTTTCCATGCATGTACTCCCACATCTCTTTCCTGTGTGTGACTGACTGTGAGCTTAGGCAAGCAGGGGCAAGATTTCCTGTCTGACCCCCACATGGAGGGGACTTTTCTTGGGCACTGACTGACACAGAGTGGCTTCTTGGGGACATAGAGGGGACAAACATATGAATCCCTCTGAGGGTACTGCCCTGAAATTCAGGAAGAAGGACCCTGCTGGGTCCCCACTCTAAAGGGATCTCCTCCTTGCAGAAAGGAGTCTGGGGAGGTTATTTGCAGTTTTTTTCTGGACCACACTGGGGGCCTGGCGCCTAGAATTCCTTGTTCAAACAGCTCAAAGCAAACTTCCAGGGTCTGTGAGGTCTGTTCCACAATAGTACTGTCCTGCTCTTATGTGATCCCTTTGACCTTCTCATAAATGGCTGTTTGTAGGGATGTCACAGGCAGAGCTTGGACAAAGTCAGAGAAGATGAGCAAGGTAGGCTGTGTTCTGATATACTTTTTTTCTGTATGTATGTGTGTGCATGTGTGTATGTATGTACGTGTGTGTGTGTGTGTGTGTGTGTGTGTGTGTGTGTGTGTTGTAGGCCAGAGGACAACCTTGGGTGTGATTCCTCAGGCATCATTCACCTTGACAGGATTTCTCATTGGCCTGGAGTTCACCAAGTAGGCTAGACTGGCTAGCCAGTGAGCCCCAGGGATCCTCCTGTCTCTGCCTTCTCAGTGTTGGCATTAAAAGGACGTGCAACTAAGGCCTGACTTTTTATATGGGCTCTGGGGAATCCAACTCAAGTCCTCATGCTTATATGGCAAGCACTTTACCTACTGAGCCATCTCTCTACCCCTGTTGTGGTTTTCTGACAGTTCTAGCTTCAACCCCAGCTCCCTAAGACATTGTAATGGTGTGTTCTGTCAAAATAGGACCAGAGAAACTATTTTCTTTAACAGTTTGTCAGCCTGATTCAAATATGCAAACCTGTGCTTTGTGGAATCCTCTTCACTCCCTTGTGTTACATTAGGACCAGGCCTGCCTCTGTGGTCCCCGGCTTACTGGGGTCCCCAGGAGACTGTCATCCTGCTTGGCGTGACCACTGTTTCTGCTGTCAGGTCCTTAGGGCCACCAGACTGAGAGTTGAAATCCCTAGAGTCTATCTCTATAGGCTTCATCTTTGCCTTCTGAAATGGGCTTAGTTTTAAGTAGAATCATAATTTGGACCCAAATACCCAGTTCAGGAGCAGTGTCTTTCCCTGGGGATAGTATTGGAGGGGTTAGAACGAGGGGTGGATGGCTGGAGATGTCCCCAAAGTCTCCTGGGCCTGAATGAAGCAAGGCCAGACCTGCAGAGCTCCCTCTAGATTCCCAAACTCCATTCCCCCAACATACACTGGTGCATGGTAGCTTGGGAAAAAGGGATGCTGGGATGCCCATCCTGACCAGATTCTGCTACCCCACAGCCTGGCACACAGAGCCACACAGTGGAGCTGGGCTGAGGTGGTGGTGCTGTTATAATTGACTCAAATGTAAGAGCACCACTACTAATACATACGAACTAATCATGAAGATTAATTATTAACAACATCATCTCATAACAGCTTGTAATTTATTGACTACATCTATACTTGCTACTAAGTAATTTATATGCATAATTTAATCATTTTGACAACCACTCAGTTATGAATTTTTCTCACCATTTTCTATGTGAGGAAACATGATCAGAGAGATTTGGGGACGTCCTCAATGTTTCACAGTTAGGAACCAGGTCTGGAATCAAGGTCTAGCTGAACATGCAGCCTATGGGCCCATGCTGCTCCCTCGCCATTCTCAGAGCTGGGCCCTAACATGGCACCCCAGGCTGGCTGGCTTCTCCCTGGTATCACGTACCCTCAGCAAGCTGATGAGGTGCCTTCTCTGCCCCCTTCTTGTCCTGGATGGCTGCACCTCCCATGGGACCCTCCAGCCTGCCTTTTTCCAGGCTTGGCCTGGCTCCCTCGCTCCTCAGTCTTTACACAGACTCCCAGTCTTTACACAGGCTCCCTCTTTCCCCAGCCTTTACACAGACTCTAACTCGAGGCACAGGGCAGTGCATGCAGCTGCCTCTGGATCTGACTGGTTGGCACCACTCCTGGGTGCTCACTTGTCTGGACCAATGTCTCACCTTTACAGATCTTCCACATGACTTACGATCTGGCCAGTGCCGTGGTACGCATTGTGAACCTCATCGGCATGATGCTTCTGCTCTGCCACTGGGATGGCTGTCTACAGTTCCTAGTGCCCATGCTGCAGGACTTCCCCCATGACTGCTGGGTGTCCATCAATGACATGGTGGTAAGTGCGCACCACTGCCCTCCCTTTGGGCTGCGAGTCTCCTCTCTAGAGTCAGGGATGGATAGAGAGGCTGTGCAACTTCTGAGTCTCAGCATGTGGGACCTTGAGGTGCTGACCCAATAACCAAAGGGGACATGGCTCTATCCATTTCAGCCTGAGTTTTCACCCCAGTGGAGGAACCTATCCACAGAGTTCTTGGCTGCTATGTGTCCTGTTCCCACCTCCTTCTAACTCCCCCAACTGCAGTGGTACACTTAGACAGTTGGCCTGGCTTCACCCAAGGAGACTAAGACCTGTGTGACCCTGGGTTGTGGTAGTGTGACAAAGCTGGGCTGATGGCTCTTGTCCTCCTAACCTTGACTCCTAAAAGCGAAATTGAGAAAACTAAAGGCTGTGAGGGTACTGTTTGCAGCACAGGAAGACTGCAAGCTTGCACACAACTACTTTCTGTTCCAGGGGCAGAGCTCTGTAGCCCAGCTCCCTAAATAACACACACACACACACACACACACACACACACACACACACACACACACACACACATAGTCACCTATACAGTACCTAGCATGGAGGGTGGACAGGCTAGAGTGACCCCTTCCAATCTGTAGGTAGATGAGAGAAATGGACTGGAAGGCTCAGAAAGCCACAGCTTTCTGAGAACTCCACAGCTACAGATAGGAAGGGCTCCCCAGAAAGGGCACCCTGGAGATATTTCTCTGGCTCTGGTGAACCCCTGCCTCCCCTCAAGTCAGTGTTGTGTGGTTTGAAGGCAAATCCCTAGGGACTCAGGGGATGAAAAACTGGTTTGAAAGAGGTGAAAGAGACCCTGCGGCATCTTTCTGCATCAAACAGGCCTTTACAAAACAGCCTTTTGATGAGCTAAGTGTAAATGAATCAGCCATATGGATTGAATTTCCCCTTTCCCCAGAGGCTCAGCAGTGAGCCCCGGAAGCCCTGGCTGGAGACAGCTGTGGGCTGTCCCTGAGCCCCAAGGCCTGTCCGGCCTGTCCCACCCCTGGGGAGCAGTCCTACCCACCCTGCCCTAGTCTGAACTGAGCCACCTATACTTGCTAAGATGGTGACCTTGAACTTGGCCCTGACCTGCTTTGACTTTCTCCAGGTGACCAGGACAGCCTGGTTCTACAAATATTCTGAGGGGCCTCCCACGGGCTCTGTAGACCAGGTACTGTGTAGATTTCTGTGTTGCTAATATCTCTGCCCCAGGAGCAAAGACACTAGGGAAAGGGCCTGGGATGGGCTTCATCTGGTGGCTCCTCTTATGGAGGCATTTCTTCCTTAGGTGTGAAGGTGACAGGCTTGCACATGCACTAGATTTCAAAAGATGGCCTTTCCGAGCCCAGTGTTCGCACACTGAGCCTTCCTTGAGACACTGACTGGCTTAGAGACAAAAATAGCCAAGAACCTCTCTCCCTGCCTGCCTGCCTCCTCCCGGCCCACGCACTATGTGCTTGGGAGAGTCCACCTTTGGGGGCAGTGGGAGGAGAATTTGTGGCCGCAGTCCTAGGCAGATGAGGGCAGGGTTCTGTGAGAAACAGGAAACCTGGCAGCTTTTAACTCCTGCTCACCCAAAAGAAGGACAGTGATCTCGGCTCCTATGGAGCCATCCCACCAGGGGAAACATATCTGGCTTTATAATTGAGGTCAGTGGGGAAATGGGCTTCATTTGGCAGCTGTTTAGGGGTAGAGGATGAATCTGTTTCAGTAAGGGAATAAACGGATGGCTCAGCCTAAGGTCTTATGCTACCCAGCCAGGAGGCTTCAGAGAATTCCTACCTCCTGGGGAATGAAGTCAGACCAGTGCGAACTCTCCTGTCCATTTGATATACCTTCCTGTATAATCTCTGCCTCCCCAACCCTCCACTGAAATAGGAAGGCCCAGTTCAGGTTCACTGCCACCAGGTACAGCCTCCCTACCCCTCACCAAGACCTTCAGCCAACAGCAACACTGGGGAGTCCTGCACAGGAGATTAGCAAGGAATCTAGGTACTGGCAAGAAGGATCTTCCCTGCCACTGACCCAAACTTGCTCTTCCCTCCCACATCTGTTTGTCCACAGAATAACTCCTGGGGGAAGCAGTATTCCTATGCCCTCTTCAAGGCCATGAGCCACATGCTTTGTATTGGGTATGGGCGGCAGGCACCTGTGGGCATGTCCGACGTTTGGCTCACCATGCTCAGCATGATTGTGGGTGCCACCTGCTATGCCATGTTCATCGGCCACGCCACTGCCCTCATCCAGTCCCTGGACTCCTCCCGGCGCCAGTACCAGGAGAAGGTAGGTTGGACCACCATGTCCATCCAGGGCTCTGTCAGGAGGACCTGCCCACTGGACCGGTGCAAGAGGGAGCACACATGCCCAGCTGGTGGGTTTGGGCAGCCCAAGTGTCTGGGCTCCTAAGTGTCAGTCCTATGATAGAGATTCTTCCTAGCTGTGAACCTCAAGCCCCTGCCTTAAATCTTCAGGTCTGCACCCAGCCTTCCTTTCTGCTGTTGCAGGGCTGTCTGTCTGCTCAGTGGAATGAGTGCCCTTGGTGTCATTAAACCCAGTGGTCAGTAGGAACACTGTCAAGTGTTCCTACTCCTTGGCGTCGCACTTACTTTCCGTGACTGCATTCTCTTCCTTCACGCCTCCAGCCAGTCCTCTCTACTGTCACTGGCCAGCTTCTTTTCTCAGTCATTACACAGTGGTAGGGCCCTGAGTGCTCAGCTTCTGTCGAGGCTTCCTAGGTGTTAGGTTCTTCCATTTTCCTGCACATGTTCCAAGGTCATCTACGTGTATCTTGGCCCAGCTGCACCATCAGCCTGCCCATTTGGTGGTGCCCCCTGGACTCGCCACTCTTATCCAAATGTCCAAAGTCAGGACATTCCCTCCTGCTCCTCCCTGCCACCCCTCCATTCTGCTTCATCTTGCTAGTGGACCCCAGGAGTTCAGACCCCAGTCAGGAACCAGCAGCCAAATTTGCCAGATCTCTCTGACGGCCACCTCAAAATCTTTCCCTCCAGTTAGCCTCTCTCCACCCTCTTTGTCACTTTAGTCTTTACCCTGGGTCGACAGTCATTTTTTGATTGTGGTGACTGAGAGCTGTGGCCTGGATTTAGGCAGCCTGGGGCCCCCTTAGCCTTTCCTCCGACAGCACTGAGTGTGATCATGTCACTGTTGCGCCCTGTCTCATCTGCAGGATGGGGCAGTATAAGGAGTTCTAGCCTTGGGTCTATGCAGAGTAATGTGAGAAAGCACTGTATTCCCACACACTTAGCTATTCAATATTCATTAGCTGAGCTGTCACTTCTCTGCACACTCCTATAACCCCAGCACTCAGGAGGTTGAGGCAAAAAGATCACAAATTCCAGGCCAGGCTAGGGATGTAGCTCAGTTGGTATAATGCTTGCCTAACATGAATAAAGTCCTGGGTTTGATCCCTATCACTGCATAAACTGGGCATGGTGGTATATGCCTGTAATCCCAGCACTTGGGAGGTGGAAGCAAGAGGATCAGAAATTGAAGACCATCTTTAGCTACACAGTGAGTTTGAGGCCAGCCTACATGAAATACCTCCACTTCATATTGAAACTCTGTACCAGCCCCTCATCTATACACATACGTTCAGACATACATTTGGCATATCTATAAGATCATATCACTCCTTTCTGTAAATCTCTCCAGAGATTTCCCATCATTTCTTAGATGTAGATAAGCTCCTAGACGTGTTTTCTTACCCTGCACTTAAGGGACATGATCCAGCCCTTTCTTTTCTTGTATCCTGTCTATCACATGAGACCCTGGCTCCCCTTACTTCTCTTTTACCACACTTTGTAACCAGTTAATCACAGGTAGCTATGTATTGATGGTCTGTGTCCCCTGTCCAGGCTATAGCTCCACAAAGACAGGATCCATCTCTGTTGTTTCTAGTGTTCAGCACAGTAGGGCTCAGGATTCATTGAGTCACTAGCTGACTGCTTGCTCCAGCTGCTATCCCCTGGAAGGGGGACTGGCAGATGACAGTCATTGAGGTATGGAAGCCCAGGTTTTGTGATACCAAGAGAAATACTCAAGGGAACCTGCAGGGCCAGGAGAGGATAGGCGAGCTTGCTTTTAGGAGGCAGAGGAAGGAGAAGGTTGGAGAGAACACTAGGCCAGTGGTCATGGGGTACATGCACAATGGTGTGGAGGAAGGTGGTAGAGAGCAAAGGATTCTGGGTTAGGAGTTAGCAGGTGAGAGAGCAGATAGGGTAGGAGTCAGGCCATAAAGGACAGGGTTTAACCCAGGTGCAGATGAGGATCAGTCTGAGGCCAGCATTAGGGCCCAGCCTGTGAGCAGGGTCTGCCGTGTGGAACAGGGATTACATTTAGAACAGGCATCAGGGTTTGTGTATGATCTGCTTGAGACTTCTAGACTTTTCCTTATTTTATCCTTGGGTTACTAGCTCTTTGAGTCTTCGTCATTTACCTATGAATCCCTCTTAAATTTCTTACCTTCCTGGTCCCCACCACCATCTCTCCCCCGGACTTCAACAGCCTTTTTATTCTTGCCTGGTGTTCCCGATCTGTTTGTTGAGGGGGACTTTCTAACGCATAGCTCCAAATGTTTCTGTGTCTGGCTAGCCAGCCAGGAGGCTTTGCGCATCTTAGAGCATACCTAGGGTAGGTTGGCTTCAAGGTCTTGAGGCTGACTTTGGCTACCTGTTGTCATCTGTGTGGATCATTAGTTTGAGAGCAGGCTCTTCCATCTCTGACCATCTGTGGGGTTTCCAGACTTCCCTGACTACCTGGGTGGGCTAAAAATCTGTGTGACTACTGACTTAGTACCTCTTGCTCTTGAAAACTCCACACTCCACTCCAAGTCTAGGGTCAGTTGGAGCAACGTCCACCTTTCACTGCAGGATGGGCAGGATAATTTTCTATTTACTTTGAGCCCTGAGGACTTGGGTTCTTAAGGCCCTTGCACCTAGTCCTAATCTTCCCTGTGCTTCCTCTGAACTAGAGTTGCTCAGGGACTTAGGTGCGGCCACATTTGCAGAGGGATAGGTGTACTCACTTCCACTTCTAGTCCTGACCACTGCAGCCTCGTCCTGTTCACTGGGGCCCATTTATCACTCCTGGTAGGAGCCAGCTACTCTTCTCCCAGAGTCAGTGACCTCAGAATAATGTGGAAATGCCAGATAAGCAGCGGAAACTTGATCATCCTCCTGGTCATTTGCATCCTGTAGCTGGGCTGCGGACAGTCCTTGTTGTCTTTGTCCATCTTGATAGTATCAAGCACAGTGAGGAGCAAACACTCCCCTCCCCTCACTTCCATCCACTTCCAGAAGCTGGGAATCAGGGTCATTATTTCGGGCACAATGTGATCACATCATTATATTGAGCCAAAGTTGGCCCTAGGGTTGGAGTCTGGCTCTGGTCACTAACCCGGGGTGCCTAGAGGTGACCGTTGTCTCTCTCTCTCAACCTCAGTATAAGCAGGTGGAACAGTATATGTCCTTCCATAAGCTCCCACCGGACACCCGGCAGCGCATTCATGACTACTATGAGCACCGCTACCAGGGCAAGATGTTTGATGAGGAGAGCATCCTGGGCGAGCTGAGCGAGCCGCTTAGGGAGGTGAGCTACAGGCAGCCTGGGCAGGGAGTGGTGCCAGTGGTTCTGGCAGACAGTTTCCTGACCTTCCTTTTTGTGTCCCAACCTGTGCCATCCATGGAGCAGGAGATTATCAACTTTAACTGTCGAAAGCTTGTGGCCTCCATGCCACTGTTTGCCAATGCGGACCCCAACTTTGTGACGTCCATGCTGACCAAACTGCGTTTTGAGGTCTTCCAACCTGGGGATTACATCATCCGCGAAGGCACCATTGGCAAAAAAATGTACTTCATCCAGCATGGTGTGGTCAGTGTGCTCACTAAGGGCAACAAGGAGACCAAGCTGGCTGATGGCTCCTATTTTGGAGGTGAGATGGGCAGGGGGTTCCAGAAGAGCAGGGGACAATGACCAGGGACTAGGCCAAAGAGACACCCTGAAGGTCAGAGGCATTGAAAGGGCTCTTCACGGCTACACCTTGGAAGTGGGTGTCTGTGAGTCCAATATAGGGGTGTCAGTCTGGGGTCTGCTATAGAACAAGGTACCATGAGACTGGTGACTTATAAACCATAGAAACTGATTTCTCACAGTTTAGCTCTGAAGGCTGGGAGTCACAGACCAGGTGTCTTGTCAGCATGACCGGTTCCACTGAGGGTTCTCTCCTTAGTGGGAGACTGCTGCCTTCTTTCTGAGTCTCACATGATCCAGAGAGTGTATATGCGCGTGCAGTCTCTCTGGCCTCTTGTATTGCGTTTGTGTGTGTGTGTGCACATCATGGTACACATGTGGAGACCGGAGGACAACGTATGGGAATCAGTTCTTTCCTTTCCCCTTGTAGGTCCTGGGGATGGGATTCAGGACATCAGACTTGACCCCAAGCACCATCAGCCCTGAGCCACCTGACTTGGCCCTTCTCTTGCCTCTTCTATAAGGGCATTAATCACCTCTCACCTCTAAATACCAGGTCACCTTGGATGAGGGTTTCAGCACAGAAACTTGGAGTGGACACAGGCATTCCCTCCATTGTGTGTGGGGGGATGGGCCCCAGAGATGGGAAACAGTGTGACAACCATTTGGTGAGGGTAGAGGTAGCACCCGATATGGCTGAAGTCTGCAAGCTAGGAGGCTTCCATACCAAGCAGTACCAAGGTCAGGGTCAGGCAGCCTTGGGGTGGTCTGGACAGACTGCCTGCCCTACCCTGAATCCTGATGTCCCCACAGAGATCTGCCTGTTGACTCGAGGCCGCCGCACAGCCAGTGTGAGGGCTGACACCTACTGCCGCCTCTACTCGCTGAGCGTGGACAACTTTAACGAGGTGCTGGAGGAGTATCCCATGATGCGCCGGGCCTTCGAGACTGTTGCGCTGGACCGCCTGGACCGCATAGGTGAGGGGCGGGGCGCGAAGGAGGGAGGGCGGGCGCGAAGGTGCTAGGGCCAGGCGCGAAACAGGCATGCGCAGACTTTCGGCGCCCTGGCCTGAGTGCAGGCTCTTGTTCTATGGCCCAGGCAAGAAGAACTCCATCCTCCTCCACAAGGTGCAGCACGACCTCAACTCCGGCGTCTTCAACTACCAGGAGAACGAGATCATCCAGCAGATCGTGCAGCACGACCGTGAGATGGCCCACTGCGCGCACCGCGTCCAGGCCGCCGCCTCGGCCACCCCGACCCCCACGCCGGTCATCTGGACCCCGCTGATCCAGGCACCGCTGCAGGCCGCTGCCGCCACCACGTCCGTGGCCATCGCCCTCACACACCACCCTCGCCTGCCCGCTGCCATCTTCAGGCCGCCCCCGGGACCTGGGCTGGGCAACTTCGGGGCGGGGCAGACGCCGAGGCACCCGCGGAGGCTGCAGTCCCTGATCCCCTCCGCGCTGGGCTCAGCCTCGCCCGCCAGCAGCCCGTCGCAAATGGACACGCCGTCTTCGTCCTCCTTCCACATCCAACAGCTGGCTGGGTTCTCCGCGCCTGCGGGACTCAGCCCCCTCCTGCCGTCCTCCGGTTCCTCCCCTCCACCAGGGGCCTGCGGCTCCCCGCCGGCCCCCACGCCCCCCACCGCCTCAGCTGCCGCCACCACCGCTGGGTTCGGCCACTTCCACAAAGCGCTGGGCGGCTCCCTGTCGTCGTCCGACTCCCCTCTGCTCACCCCGCTGCAGCCAGGCACCCGCTCCCCACAGGCTGCCCAGCCGCCCCCCCCTCTGCCAGGGGCCCGAGGAGGCCTGGGACTCCTGGAGCACTTCCTGCCGCCCCCACCTTCCTCCAGGTCACCATCGTCCAGCCCTGGGCAGCTGGGCCAGCCTCCTGGAGAGTTGTCCCCGGGTCTGGCCGCTGGTCCACCAAGTACACCAGAGACACCCCCGCGACCTGAGCGGCCGACCTTCGTGGCAGGGGCGTCTGGGGGGGCCTCTCCTGTAGCCGTTACCCCCCGAGGAGGCCTCAGCCCCCCAGGCCACAGCCCAGGGCCCCCAAGAACTTTCCCAAGTGCCCCACCCCGGGCTTCTGGCTCCCACGGTTCCTTGCTCCTGCCACCTGCATCCAGCCCTCCGGCTCCGCAGGTCCCGCAGCGCCGGGGCACACCACCCCTCACTCCCGGCCGGCTCACGCAGGACCTGAAGCTTATTTCGGCCTCCCAGCCGGCCCTCCCCCAGGACGGGGCACAGACTCTCCGCAGAGCCTCCCCTCACTCCTCGGGGGAGTCGGTGGCCGCCTTCCCTCTCTTCCCCAGAGCTGGGGGCGGCAGCGGGAGCAGTGGGGGCCTTGGGCCCCCCGGGAGGCCACATGGTGCCAGCCCCGGCCAGCATGTCACTTTGCCTCGGAAGACATCCTCAGGTTCTTTGCCACCCCCGCTCTCTTTGTTTGGCGCAAGAGCCGCCTCTTCTGGAGGGCCCCCACTGACTGCTGCACCCCAGAGGGAACCTGGGGCCAGATCTGAGCCAGTGCGCTCAAAACTGCCTTCTAATCTATGAGCTGGGCTCTCCCTCCCTCTTTTTCTCTCTTCTTTCTTCTTTCAGGTTTAACTGTGATTAGGAGATATACCAATAACAATACTTATCATTAAAAAAAAAAAAAAGCCACACACACCCCAGAAAAAAAACAAAAAACAAAAAAACAAAAAGCAGAAAATAACCAGGTATTCTTAGAGCTATAGATTTTTGGTCACTTGCTTTTATAGACTATTTTAATATTCAGCACTAGAGGGATTGAGGGAGGGAGGGAGGGAGGGAGGGAGGGCGGGAAGGGGCAGGCAAGGCCCCAAAGCAAAAGCCAGAGGAAGGAAGGGCAGAGTCTCTGGGGGGCAGGGCAGGGGTGGGGTAACCCCTGTGTGGGGTTCTTATTATTGTATACTGTCAGTCCCTTGGCTGGGAACTTGCAGCCCTCTCTGCCTGGGGCTGCCTTGTTCTCCTGGAAGGAGCTGCTCACCAATGTATTCCCTTGGGAGCCTCTGGAGCCTGAATCCTTGGGACAAATTGGCCCCTAAGGGCCTTGCATTTTTTTTCTACTGTAAACGTAGCAAGATATGTATATGAATATGTATATGTATGTAAGATGTGTATATGTATATCCATGTAGCGCTCTGTAGAGCTGTGTAGATAGCAGATCCCATGTGCACACATGTGTGTGCAGTCTAGTTTAACTCCATGTTGCAAGGACACCCAGGTCTCCTTACATCCAGCAATCCGCTGTGGCCCGCAGGCTGGGCACTGCAGGCTCTGGGGGAGGTTCTCTCCTCAGTCCTCAGGGAAGGGGACCCCCAGAACCTTGCAGCAGAGCCTTTCTCTGTCGCTGGGCTCCAATCCAGTCCTAACCCAACCTCTAATCCCACGGAAGGGGAAGGACTTCAGGCCGAGCCTCTCACTTCCCAGGGCCTCAAGCACACCTGTTACCTTTGTGGCCCTTGGTTTTCCTAGCTGGACTATGGGAGGCCAGAGGAGCTTCCATTTATTGAGTCTGTTCTGTGCCAAGCACTGGTTACACACATTCACAGACTGTGAGGTAGATACTGATGCTTCCCATTTTGCAGGTGAGGAAACTGAGTTCTGGGTGGCTTTTCCAGAATCACAGTAAGCAAGGGGTGGCAAAGCTGGGGCCGATCTGAACTGCAGATCTACACCTGCCTAAGGCCAACACCTGGGCTTCTCTCCTCAGAAAATGGGGTTTCAAGGAGCCCTTGTTTGTTGGTCCTCAGGCAAAGTGCAGAGGGAAGAGATGGGAGCTTGGTGGCAATCAGGCTTCAGTCAGTTCAAATCCCAGCCCTGACACTTAGCTGTGTGGCCTTGGGCAAGTTATCTGACTTCTTTGTTCCCTCATTTGTAAAATGAGAATAATTATGGAATTGCCTCACAAGACCAGTGAGGATCAGATAAGAAAAAGACAGAAAATGCCCAGCCCAGTGCCTGGCACACAGCATAGTAGGTGCTCAATAAATCACATTTCTTCTGCCCCCCTCCTCATATACCCAGCCCATTGCCCCAGTGAACTATGGCAAGAACCCAGGGAACTTTGGCTGAGGGCTCCAAGACTTAAAATCTCAGGACTCAGGAGGTGGCTGGGCCTCCTTCAGGGCCTGAGGAAGGAGTGTGGCCAATGGTAGGCTTGAACCATGCCTTGAGATAATGGGAAGAGTTGGAGAGAGCAAGGAAAGGAAGGAAGAGGGATGGAGTGTGTGGTGGTAGGTTACTGTGGTGATGTGGAGCCTCGCTATGGTTACTGTGGTGATGTAGAGCCTCGCTATGGTTACTGTGGTGATGTGGAACCTCGCTATGGTTACTGTGGTGATGTGGAACCTCGCTATGGTTACTGTGGTGATGTGGAACCTCGCTATGGTTACTGTGGTGATGTGGAGCCTCACTATGGTGGTAGTTGTATAGGCTGGGGACCAGAGGACTTTGGACAGGCTAAGTTGATGGGTGAGTTTGACTCTGAAGGCAACAGCCAGAAGCAGGCCACAGACTCAAAAGCAGCTGCATTGCCTCCTGAGGCTCTGCAGAGCCCCACTGCTTAAAGGGCTGGGCAGGTAGACCTTTATCGCCTATATAGTGAGGTGGGCTAGTTTAATCATGTCCACAGTGCCCGAACACCCGGCCAGCAGTGGCATAATTGGGTTTGACCCAAGCTGTCCTGGGATGTGAGGCAGGGGACTCCTCCGGATGGCCACCAGGAGGCTGGAAGCAATAATCCAGGAGAGAAGGGCAAAGGCCCAGGGACCATATGAAAACAGTAGAAACCGTAGTCTGTCTGCACCAGGACTGGAGAGGTTGCTCCAGACCCAGACAGTCCTCAGACCTGGAAGGGTTCACACAGCCTCAAACTGAGTTCTGCACACACACACACACACCCAGGACGGCGGCTCAGGGAGCCAGCAGGACTCCATCAAAACCTGCAGTCTGTCCTGGAAGGAGAGGACATGGAGAATCTGGGGGTAAAAGGAGAGAGGAGTCCCCTGCCATCAGGCCTGACCTAGCCACCCTCTTTACTGACACATTTTATAAATGCTCTGACCTACCAGCCAACTCCTGAGTGACTATGGAGAGGCCAGGTCTAGTCAGTGGGCACTTCTACCCCACGACCTCCACAAGCAATTTTCAAATCTTCCACTTTTAAAACAGAAAACGGTTAAATGCACCGTCTTGTATATTTTATTTAAATAAAAAAAAATTCTAGCAAATGCTGCCTCCTTCTGGGGCCAGAGATGGGAGTGGGGTGAGGTTCACAGGGAGGCCTGGAGTCTCCTGAGCCCTGCTGTGGAGGGTGGTGGGACAATGTCTCTTGGGAGGACAAGTGTTCGAGCCTTCACCCCCAAGGAGTATGGAGGTGAGCTGTGTGCAGAGCTGTGCTTGGGAGTGTGAGTCCTGACTAAGCACGGGTATGCAGCTGTATATGACCTGTAGTGGTCCTTGAGGAGAGTGAGAGTGTCACTAGGGAAGGGGGAAGTGGAGGAGGTGGGGGGTGGGACGTGACTCAGATCTTCCTTTCTGACTCTACCAAGACTCCAGAATCCTTGTGCTCTCTGGAGGAGGAAGTTAGTACCTGGGTACACAAACTCCAACCTGCTAAATACTGAGTAGCAAACACATGGGCCCTCAGAAGAGGAAGGGTGGCTGGGGATACAAGGAGACCATAGCAGGGCAACAGGTAGAGTATAGACACTGGGCTCAGCCCAGGAGCTGTGAGGAGGCATGGTACTGACTCCCAACTGGTGAGCTGCTGCCTCACACCCTGCCCCTCTCGGTCACCTGCAGAAGCAACCTGCAGGCCCTAGGACCTTGCTTACTTGGGCAGGTGTCGAGTTGGGAGAGCAGCATCTTCAGATTCCTGGCAGCTTGGGGACTACCAGTCTGCCTGCCTGGGAGGGGAAAGTCCTCAGAAAAGAGCAGGGAACCCAGCCAGTCAGTTCCCCATCACTGCTTGCCCAGGCTGTTTCCGTGGTGACAAGCCTGGGAGTCCTGTTGCTAAGTAGTCAGCTCAGCAGACCCAGCATCCCCATGACAACTGCCCCCTGTGGCCAGGTGGCAGCGCTTCCTCTGGGGACCCCAGGGCCATAGCATAGGTAGGGCCCGAGTCAGCCACTATGGGGCAGTCTGGGCTGGACTGCATTGGCCTCTGGGTTGGGGGAAACCTTTGCAGGTGGGGTGGGGTAAAATAGCATGCTGAGGGATGAGAGGCAGGTCTGATCAAACTGGTGGAATACTAGTCACTATCTTTTCTGTTCCTAGACTTCACAGAATCAGTAAGTGCTAAGTGCTAGGTGTTTGCTTGATATCACATTTCATCCTGCCACCAAGATCAGAATGATCTTCAGTGACAGGGAGCCACAGGTCAGGGGCTCAGAACCAGCAGGAACTTACCCCTACATATCAGCCAGTGGACAGAGCTGCCGGACACACTCAGGCCCTGGAGACTCAGTCAGAGCTTATCCCTGGGCACTAGGAGCTCAGCAGAGACAGAGTGGGAGAAGCCATTGTCCTGGGTGCAGACAATGTATGAAGTGGTTGTCTTTATAGAATTAAAAAGCTGCAATGAGAATGACTGTTGGTTTGTTTTCCCTCCTCACCATGGACCAGCAATTCTAAATAGTCACTGGCAAAATGATCCTCCCCCACCTGGAGATGCTATCCTGCCCAACTCCCCAAGCTTCAGCACCTGGCTGGCTACCAGATAGTGGGAAGGCCTGAGGCTCCCTTTGTGCCTTAGTGGGATCAAACCAGACTTGGAATTTTGGAATTTCAGTTGTGCACGCATGTGTGTGCGTGCATGCTTGCGTGCGTGCATGCGTGCGTGCGTGCGTGTGTGTGTGTGTGTGTGTGTGCGCACATGTACACTCTGCTGGGGATCAAACTCAGGGCCTTGCACATGTAGGCAAGTGCTAGACCATTGAGCCAAATGCTCAGGCTTTTACTAAGTTATTTAGGCTAGCTTTGAACTCACTCTGTAGCCCTGTCAGGCCTGGTGAGCCTCCTGCTTCTGTTTCCTCAGCTTCCTCTTGAGTAGCTGAGATTACAGGCCTGTATCAGGCCTGGCTCAGTGGAACCTGTGAAAAGACTTGGTAGAGTCCCTCCCCAAATGCTAGTCTCTCACACTAGCCGCTACCTCTCACTCTTTGGAGCCCAGCTTCCTGAATGGTCTCCACTTCCTGGCCTGGGAGTCATTTCTTCCTCCTTGGCAATGTGCTTCTGCCTTTCCCTTGGAAGAGTTCGGAGGCAGTCCTCCAAGTCCACATGGGAGTTTCCAGGGCTGATGTCTGTGTCTGGTCTTGCTGATCTCCCCAGTGTTGGACCTCACTGGCCAGGTTCTCCCTAGCTCTGAGGTCATGGCTCTCCTCTCTTGGCCTAGCATCAGCCTGTAAGGGCTTGTCTGTCTTCTAGAAGGTTGGTGCTCCTGGAGCTCTGTTCTTGGCCCCATCCCATCACTGCAGACACCTTGGGCAATCTCACCTATGCCCAGGGCTTCCTCCCCTGCAAGCAAAAGCTTCCCAGAGTCCATCTCAATCCAGGACGCCCATCCCCTGAGCTCCCAGCCTCTTCTGACAGACTAGAGACCTTCCATCCTCGATTGCAGGAAGCTCCTGGTTCAGCACAGAGCCTGCCCTGCTAACCCCTGCCGCTGATTGACTGCTTCTTCAATTCATTTTTTCTTGAAGGTGGAATATTTCAGATAGGCAGAAGATAACATTCCATAACTAAGACT